ATATGTCATCCACAGTGTGGGTAGACATCTGATTGTTTCAAGCCGCAATGAAACCCGACCGATTTGGCATCAGTATTCTAACCTCTAAACTATCGACATTAGGTAGAGAGAGGCGAATTTTTACGTATATATTTTTTCATAAACACGCCAGTGACATGGAGAACTCAATGGAGAGTCTTGCATTATCAGTACTAATAATGAATGTAAACAAATTCGCTTTTCTCGCCACAGTGCTCGACCGATTTAATTACTTTTCGGGAGCTCATATCGTCATCAGATATATATATATATATATATATATATATATATATATATTCCTATGTTTGCAGTATCTTTGTCTACCTGCAAATATATATATATATATATATATATACAAATATAGACAAAGATACTGTGAAGATACGTGTCTGGTTTAAAATTAGATTGAAGTGTGAAACTGACAGTCATCATACAGTGCTGATTCTTATGTCCACACTGTCTGTATACATAAACGTTATAAATTCAACTTTAAGTACTATTACAACAACAACAACAACAATAATAAATTGTTTAAATTTTGCCATATTTATGGGAGAAGAGTCGCCCAAGGTGTGAAAGTGATTGTAACCATGTTGTGTTGATCCCTATGTATTTTTTCTCGCTCTCTTATAGGATTAATACAAATATAAAGTTTGTCACTTAGCTGATTCATATTATATTCAGAATCTCTACTCCAGAATTTCGTAGACGAGCCTTTGCGCAATTGTTCGGTCCACTCGTCAGGAAGTATCTCAATTTTCTCGTTTTCATTATTTTTATATTAAATTAAACAAATGATTTATGCACCTTTTTATTCGCGTTAGGTTGGCTTTTCTTTGTATGCGTGTGTGATGAAGGCGTTCTTGGAAAAAAATACTATTTTTCTATTGCTCTCTGCACTGTTTTGAATTCAAAGTAGACCTTCTCCAATACTGTAGAACTGCGAGTGAATGCCAAGGACAATGATGCGAAAGTGAACGCAACAGATCTGACCAGGATTTGAACTTCTGCTCCCCTTTGCCACTTGTATTCGTGGATACCCGATACTAGGACGTTTAACCAATCCCTATTGCATACGCTTGCTCAGGCACATTTGCGTTTGTTCACAGAGGTTTATACTGCAACTAAGCTGAGCAGACCTTAGTTACAGTTTCTGGGAAAGAGCGTTTTATCTAGCTTGATCAGATTGGGTGGTATGTTAAAGGTGCCGCACGCAGACTGATACTATTAACAAGTCTCCTTCCTGACAATCGACTATGGTAAGTTTCGAACCCGCATCTCATGGTCAGAAAGAGAACGTTCTAACCACTCGGCTATGTGCGTGTGTGTATGGTTGTTTTTGTGTATATGATTGAAGAATATTGTCTATCACGAGGATCAGTTTATTTGCAAATGAATTTTTCGCTTTTGTACGAAATGCCATTTAATCTTTTTTGGCCTTCAGATTATTTTTCTTGTCTCAGTCGTAACGGGTCCGAGTTGAGTTATCTTTTTGTCTTCGTCCAGTTCCTATTGCGCTGTACGATAATATCTCTTATCATACTGGTTCTTGTTCAGTCGGCAGCTTTACAATGTTTAACAGGTTGTATGTATGAACATAGACCAAGATTATTGTATCATTTTAAAAATCTCGTTTATTGATACAGCCTCACTGCTCTAATACATGAAATCCATCAGGGAAGATTGTTTTATGAAAATACGATTCGTATATCATTTGATTTAGATGTCTGATAAGTCTACTCTGCGTACGGAGTTTATTTTTTATTGCATTTCTGATGGTAATGATATGTCAGTTTGCTCATCGTATACTTTAATATATATATATATATATATATATATATATATATATATATATATATATAAAACATGAAATTTATAGACTTTATCTTCCTTTTGATAAGCCATAATACCACGTCTACTTGAGAATGGTTGTAACAAAAGATTTGCTCTTGATCAAGAAAAGTTAAGAAAGTTTTCCTTTGTCAGTACGAAGTGGGTGACAAATTGAGAAATATAAATATTTTATACCAAAAATAAATTAATTTTTTTTTTACAGCTAACGACACACTTACAAAAGAACGATATTTGTTCGTTATCGAAATGATTTTGTTCGAACCTGATGCTAAATTACTACGATGAATTCAAAAAATTTGAAAAATAACCCTCCTGTTTTTTTAACGCGTTAATAAACACCATCCAATTTTTGGTTGAGGTGAGCATTAATTGATTATAGGTCATCATTATCATCATCATCCACTTAATTTTATAATCATAGGGAGGATCCGAATGCAGAAGCCACACAATCTTATCCACAACGGTCTATCAACGGCAGCCATCAGCAATTCTGGTATAGTCATATCTGTCCATTGTTTGACATTGTCCAACTAGTATTTTCATTGGCATCCTCTCCTATGTCTATCTTCAATGGTGCCTTGCATGATGGTCTTACACAGACTTTCGTGCTTTGTAATGTGTCCAAACCACGCCATTTTTCTCTGTTTGACAGTGGCGAGAAGAAGTACAAACGTATAATTAATACAGAATTTTGATATTAAGTTTTATAATTACGGTTGATATGAATAGGTTAGCTTAAGTGTTAATTTACTGCGACAATTGGTATCGGTTAAGAAAAACATTACTTTGTCCTACGACGGGCAGGCAGTAACGGGGCACAGCGATGTTTTGTGAAAACTGTGCGCTGTATTCAATGAGGTTCATTTTCCATATGAAGACAATTGATGTGAACTCAAAGCTTTATCCTTTCCTGATCTGAGATGAGAGCTGAGTGGCGTTTGTCATTTGATTGCTTCGTGGTTAAAGACGCTACACGTTCGAAATTTCCCAACTTTTTGGAAACGAAGAAAAGAGTAATATCGGTATTGTTATATGGTAGTAAATGCTGGCCCATCTCCTTACAGATGGAGAAGAGTCTTGAGACAATAGAAATGCGGTTCTACAGAAGGATGCTGAGAATACAATGAACTGAACACGTCAACACCGATGAGAAAATGGAAACGGAAAGGATACTTTTTATATATAGCATCAGAAAGAGATAGTTAAAATTTCTAGTGCAGATAATGAGGAAAGAGAGCTTTGACACTCATATGACATATGGAAGACAAGAGGGACAGAGAAAAGCAGTATATATATATATATATATATATATCCAAAAGACAAACTTTGACTCTTTAACTGCGGATGACGGATATTTTTACCAGTTGCAGTTCTATTGGTTAGATATGAATGATGATGTTAATGGGCTAATTAACGAAGTAATGAAAGAACAGCATTTCAACCTTCTATTCTCTGTCTGAGTTAAACTAGAATATTACAGTCACTCTAGATTTGATTATTTGCCTCACCTTATGAATACTAAAAGCTGTTTATTTTTTGAATTATTGTTAAAATAATGAGCGTCGTCAGTATGAAATTTCAACGAAGCAAACAAAACAAAAAGTTTATCCACTTTTTCGTATCACACATTTTTGCATTTTGAAAACAAGCTTCCGGAAGTGCCAACTGGCTTTTTTTTCTTTTTGGAAACATATTTCCAGCAAGCCTGGCATCAATACAAAGAACGTTCACTAATGAGATACGCAAAAAATGGACTGATACAAAAAGATTAAAATCAACAGGGAAATAAATACAAACAGCAGCTTGCCTTGTCATAATTACAATGTCAATGTATACGGTTTCAATCCACTCAAAAGGCCAGATTCCAAATGATAATTTTCTAGATGAGCAGCCTCCCCCACTTGCAAAATAAATCTAACACAATCTTCTTACCCAAATTTATCTCCATTTCACTTTGTTCTCTACTAAGTTAATCCTAGTACATATCAGCAAGGATACAAAAAAGTAATATAGTCACGTAGACTATTTTTAAACTAACGACTGAAAAATCGGCTCTTAAAAAACGGTTTACCGATGATAAGTCCTTTATATTAACATTTAATAAGAAATTGTGACCCAGTATTCATGTATTGCCCTCACTTATCAGAGTGTTTACATTCCTTGCTTATTAGTTTCCGGGACTAAATTCAGTACAAGGCGATCATATTTATCATCAACTTCCTCTTATTAACAAGCAGATCTTTTCAACATTTTTAATCTAACCGAGACGGGTCTCTGCAGGGTCCTTCCGATTTTCAGTGCAGTGGCGTCGTGTTCAGATAATGTTTTTTCCGGTATCCATCGCCCTGCACCTGTAAAACCAGGCCTGGCTTATTATCATGTTGCTCACTGTTAAATTTCCGATCCAGAATAAAAGCTACCAACGTAAATTTCAATGGCTACTTGATGGCAAATTTTTGTTTTTGTTAATGGAATATCAAATATTTGATATGGCAGTTACTGCTGGACAATCTCCTGATAGAATGAACAATGTCGGACAGTTTTCTTTTCTGTCACCGAATGCTGAGAGTGACATGGACAGATCATGTGACTAACGAGAAAGGAGAATAGGAAGTACAAGGAAACTGCTGCTAACAATAAGAAAGAATTGAAATTTCTGGAATATACAGCGAGGAAATAGATAACTTAATACTCTCCAATTTGGGGAATTTAACTTTCAAAAGATACAAATAAAAGTAGTCCAACTACCATAAATCGGTTTTATTTGCCTTAAATAGGCAAGTGATATCGATTAACCTATGTAATACGTTTAAGTGAATACGTAATTGATTGATTTGTTTTTACGGCTTATCAACCCATTGCAGGTTACTTAAAGACAGAAAATATTTTTATATCGTAAGATGTGTTTAGATAATAATGGTTTCGTGATACACGTCTTACTAATTAACCCATAGCTGGGGGAGAAGAGATAGATTCATTCCTTTCTTAGGAATATTTACGCGTAAATGAATATAACGATCCCAACTGGAACTCGGCTCTCGGATTATAATTCAAAGCCATTATCTATTACAACACACACACACACACACACACACACACACACACACACACACACACACACATCCAAGCTTACAGCTCCTGGAATTCCCAAGTGATCACCCATCAAGGTGCTGGTCAGGAACGACGTTGCTTAACTTCGGTGATCATACGGGAACCAGTATTTCAATGTGATGTGGCTATAAGCCTCCCATGGAAATGACACCTCGTACAGATGGTTATCTAGTTACTATCTGCAACAAATTAGAAATCATAATCGGGAAATTACATCTTTTGACACTCTACGAAAGCGGGATTTCAGAAAAATCTGAATCAGGATATAGAATGATTACCCATCTTGAATGGATGGCAAGACAAAGAAGGATAGTAAAGGGACAAATATTAAAGCAACAAAAGACAGGAAGTTGTAGGAAGCCATGATCATCCATGTCCCGTAATAAAATAGTATATAAAGACAGTTCGTTTGACAACAGTAGTTTAAATTTTAATACGGCTTCCCAGTGTTTTATTCATATTATTTCAAAAAATAAATAACTGTCTATATCTCTGAGATAAGGTATATATTATTTGGACTGCTATCCTCATCTTCATTGCCATATTCATAACGTTTCGGCCGTTGTACTCTCCGGCCTTCTTCATGTAATTGGCGACATCCGGAAGAGACATAGCATGTGGAACGAGTAAAATCTACTCCGGTGGACGAAATAAAGGGTTCGGTTCGAAATTCCAATCACTTGAAGAAGGTCGAAGCGTACAACGCCTGAAACGTTGTGAATATTGTAATTAAGATGGAGTCCGAATAATGTAAATAAAAATAAATAAATTAAAAATGTTTTGAAAACTGCATATGGAAAGATTTGATACGATCTGTACGAAAATCAGCTGAGAACAATTGAGCTTTTTTCTAAATCTGTATCACCAAACTAATTCTTTATTTCTGTATATGATGTCTCTCGGTTTTCGTATAGTTGATAAAATGACACAGTATGGTAATTGGACTCTTTTTATTTGTAATCATTAAACACGAATCTATTTCTTGGCGTGGTATTACTTTAATTGTCTACATTTTTAATAAACCTTTTTTAGACTGATTTTTGCAAATAGAAGTAACATTAATCGACATTTACCGTAAGGAAGTGATTTTCCTTGCTATAAGTTTTTGATAACAAAAATATTGATAACTGGTAATATTTCTCCTCCATCAATTCCTACTCATAAATTAGATTTGTATATTTCTGCAATAATTCTTTCTAGCGCTAGGGAAAGGGACTGAAGATTAAACACCGAATTTTACAAATTTCGACCATACACTGTATAAAAGGAAAGGATTATCAGAGGCCGGAGATTAATGCTTGTTACTTGAATTACCTTACAATACTAACAATAGTCTGCTGCACTGCTTCTACCACAATAACAGACACACACACACACAGAGCAGTGTGGACAGAGTTCAGCATCGAAGGACGACAGTCTGTTTCATAGCCACCTTCATGACATGAAACAAGCCATTTACTCATAATGGATTAGTTTGGCACAAGTTCAAAGCACTGAAAAACCCATTTGTGAAAACTGAACGAAACGCTCGCTAAATAGTAAATGAATGTAGTTTATTAACCAGTCGTGCTCTAGTAGACGTCCTTTTGATAGAGATCTTCATGACATGAAATAGACTGTCGCCATTTAGTGTCGAACTTTGTACCCACACTGGTTATATTTACGTACGCTCTGTTCTGAATATTGAGCTCTTATAACGTATAGCATATCTTAAAATTATATTATATACAGTGTGGATATAGGAATTAACACTGTACAAGTGATATTCAGAACGTGATCTGACATAGCCTGAAGGTGTTTCATTTAGACCTAATAAATATAGCATATCTTAAAATTATATAATGTGGATATAGGAATTAACATTGTATGGTGACTATAAGTTTCACGCCTCAAGCGATATTCAGAACGTGATCTGACATAGCCTGAAGAGTGTTTCATGTGAAATCCTATGATAGGTTTACTCTTGTGATGATGTTAAAAAAGTTGGCAGTTAAATCGATAGTAAAGAGCCGCCATGTTATCGAATTGATGTCAGTATTTGACTGCAATGTTTGCTGCATAAGCCCTCACCAAATGACCAAGAAAGTCTTTTTAGTCTTTCTAACCTTATACCTTGATCCCTTGAATACTGCCACGCTCATGTATACATTTTGCTATGCCTTTTATCTGGTGACTTTATGCAAGTTCCAATCTTTTGACACCGCACTTTTAGGGATATTTCCACAACTTTTGTGTCTTCTTAAATTTAGAGCAGTCATTAAATCAAATGTTTGTAGCAATTTAAATATATTATTTGAGGTTTTAATATTGCTTTCAAGTGCTAGAAAATGTCACGTCGTTAAAAAAGAATAACACTTTTGCTTACTTAAAGTCGGGAGTAGTCTTTTGTTGTTATTTAAAATTCGATTACTCCATAATTAATGAAAGTCCTTTTAAATTTACGAGCATTTCATGGAACTGTTGAACTACAGGTGGCGAAAATAAAATAAAATAAACTATTTTCTTTGTACGCTCAAGATCTTATGAGTAAAAGCACCAAAGAAGCTAATTATATTATTTTCTTAATGGGCTCTCATATTTTGGATAATTACGCAATTGATGTACGTCATAAAATATAATTTTCTATGAAAAATGTTCAGTTCATTGAATTTTTTTTAATTTATAATTTTCAGTTATTGAAGTGGTTGTTAATAACAATATTTCTGAAGAGTCGAACGAGAATAAAAACGAAAAAAAAATCTCATCAAATTAAGTGTATATTTTCTACAGCCCCGGTTGATGTTTCAAATAAAATTTCAACTGTTTTAATTATCTTATTGGAACATCAATATTTTTACTATCTAAACGATATTTTATTGTTTTTTTTAATTGGTTTGATTGGCAATTATTTCCACAAACTTTTGCAAAATTCCATTTTATATAGATAAATCCATTCATATAAGAACTGAAAGTTTTACGGAAATCAAATAATTATCAGAATTTTGATAAACTTTTAAATCTCGCTGCGTTACGCCAAAGATTTCTGATATAAATGACGTCAAACTTATTTTGTAGATTGAAAAACACTTCCAGCCACAAATATCTCCGATTCTATAAAATGGATACAAATAATTTTACATCACAATTTTCTCCAAGCCTTCATAATAACGACACGAAATTTCTAACAATAAAATTATTTTTTATATAAGTTTTTGGCGTTTTTTTCGTTACAAATCTGTAGAAGCACCTGCATTAAATTTTATGGGAAAAGGCAAAAAAAAAAAAAACGGGTTCAAAATAATATTCCTACCTCCAGGTGACATTGTGCTAAATTAAAATCAATATATATTTCTAAAGAACGTTTACTAGACCGTGATTGGTCAATGAATGGCGTTTGTTAACCAATCAGCGAGCGTTGTGTTCAGTTTTCACAAATTCACTGTTTTGAACTTGTGTTAAACTAAGCCATTATGAGTAAATGGCCTCCTTACGAGGCCCACTATTTTGCCTTTGTGACTAAACTAAATTTATTCATTTAGTTTTTGTGTTTGCCAGCCAGAGTTTGAATAAAATGCAACAGATAACATTATTCTTTATAAATATTAGAGGTGAAATGGACCTTGCACTATGCAAGGTATCTAGTTGTCCATCACACATATATGTATATACGCAAACAGGTACGTACACAGATAATTTTATGCATGCACAAGTCAATTGTAGTAAAAATACTAATGACTACAAAACATCAGTTCGGATTTTATTACGTCAAGGGAAAGCTCACCTGATATGAAAGGAAATAGTAATAAACCACAAACAAGATTTAATGTAATCTATGACCAACGAACAATAGAAATATATGTCAGCATGTCCTATCCTGATTTCCACTTTTCTTAAATAAATGTGTGATTCTCAGTAGATCAATAGTGGGAAGATTTTATTATTATTATACCGTGGCTATTAGAACTCGAAAATGAGACTTCAGGTGTGGAATAGTGCAATGTTTATAATGAAATAGTTCCAGATTGATAGGGTCTATTACATTTGTGTTCTTTAATTTCCTGAAAGGATCGGCATTTGCACTGTGTTTTGAATTCAGTCCTCATTGAGTGTCCTAGGTCTGTAAACTGATTACCAATCTTGCTGACCAATTCGCTAGTGCAGTAAGCCAAAACATAACACAAAGTACAGAAGCAACTTGAAGAAATTTATGTAGTAGTTTTAGAATTAAATAAAATTTGTTTGCGTATGACAACCAAATGATTGTGTAAAGAATGAAGAATTTTGGTGAAGACTTTAATCGTGATTTTGTTATCGTTTTTAGCCGTGCTTAGGAGAATCAAATGGTGTGTGGGTAGCGTAACGATTATCGACGTGGAAAATAGGATCGGCTAACCGAGTACAAATTTCAGTCTAGTCTGTTGTGTTCACTTCGCACTAATGCATCAATTTCTTCCCCAAGTGAAGGGTTAAATAGTGGCTCAGAATAGGCTATCCTAGTGGTGGTAGTCAGACCAGGAGAAAGATAACTCTAAATTCCAAATTGTATTCATTAAGATTAGATAATGTTCTTTATTTGGCTCGCTATGGTAGATAATGGAAGCGCCTATTGAGGACTTTATAAAGGAATAATGAATAATTCTCAGTTCGGCTGATTGTCAAACAATATCAAAGAGTCCAGTTTATTTTATTATTTAACCCATAGCTCGGGGGTTAGAAAAGATGGAGTCGTACATTTCGTAAGAGTATTTTGTACGAAAGCAAACGCAACTAATTCAAACGCAATTCCACTTTTTGTGACGATAACCGCTAAGCTACCAACACATCTATTTGGTTATACACTTTTAGTTAATTCGTACCTGTTTATTTGACAGCAAATATGTGTGTACAGGCTGCTCCAGATATTAAAAAAAACACTTATCGGACTATAAATAGAAGTTCACTTAAAATAATGTTACATAGGATACGCCAAATTTAACATTTTCATTTCTGTTTCAAAGTTATCGAAAGCATGGGAGCTTCCAATCTGATACAGGATAGGTAAAGATACGCGATGCTTGTGGCGCTATCTTCCAATCACAACGACTCAGAGAGAGAGATAGCCAGCTTCTTGGGAGGGGACAGGTTGGTACCGTTGTGTTTCTGAGGCT